AACCCAAACTTATCTTACCACTTCTCCAATGGTTGTCATTCCATTTATTTCCAGTTATTGATATCATAAACACCCTTGGTCAGCTATTTTTGAACCTTGGGGTCTTCTGTAATTGACGCATCTTTAGAAAATTTAGTGAGATGTGATCCTTGTGTAAGGGACAAGGGCCAAAGAGTCATTGGATTGTTGGGGATGGTGCGGTGGCGGGAGCTGACAACCTGTAATTTTTGAGGTGTGTTGGTGCAAAAGTTGATAAGACCAGGACAAAAGGATGCTGGACATGGCAATGTGACAGCCAAGGACAATCTGTTCAACATGCGATTGAAATATCAGCTTTGGAGGTAGACTTTGGGGGGTGTAGAGAAAGTTGTCAACATCAGAGTGGTCACTGCTTTGTGTCCTTGCTTCTTCAACCAACCTAAGGCAGGAGCCTCATGCTCATTTCGTTTCATGTCGAAACTGAGCAACCTTTTTGGGCCAGAGCAGTATGGTTAGAACGATCGTGGGTACAGCATTTTCTGGTTGAGAGGCTTAAAGTTTGCCATTGTGTTTAATTCTTTCGAGACTTTGCGCTGCAGAAATGCATCTCCATGGCGACATAGATGTTTGACACAATGATTGAGAGTGTGGTCTCTTCATACTACCTGGTTTAAGTCATGGTTCCACCCTTACTGGGCTGCTACCTTCCCATGCCTTATTTTTCTATAGTATGGGCTCATCGTAGTTCCTGCCTCAGAGGGTTTTGAGGTAACTAAATGATAATTAAACAAAGTGCTCAGAGACGTGCCCCCACACAACAAGTTCTCAATAAATGTTAACCATTATTAATTGTTGAGCACCTACCATGCACCAAGAACTCTGCTTGTATTATTTAATTCTTAAAACAATCCTATGGGATAGGTTTCAGTAGTCCCATATTTACAAAAGGAAATTGAGAGTCAAACACGTTCAAGGTCAGGCAGATGAGCAGGAAAGGTAAAAATAAAAGCTTAAGATTAATGAACTCATTAAAGTGTAGATATTGGGGTTTTTGGTGAGGCAGGGATAGAAGCTTGAAGCTGTAAGCAGTAAAGGGTTTGGAGGAAATGGCAAAATTTATCTCTCTCCTGTTTCCATAAATAGTCCTAAAATATTTGGCTTGTGTGCCCCCTCTGACATGTACGAAGTGCCTTCTGGTGTCTTCTCTGTGTGTAATAAGATCTCAAGGTGCGTTTTAGTCTCCCTCCTCTGATGATTGGCAAAACTGCCCCCGCGTCTGCTGTGGTTTGACTCCAAAGCCGCAGCACCCCTCTTTCTTACTGGCCAGCAAAACACTGCTAGTGGCAGGAAGCTGGTCCCGGCTGTTCCGCCGCTCAGGACAAAGAGTTCTCCAAGCATTTGAAGGTGCCAGTGCCCACGGAATAACGTGGTCCTCACCTGCATGTTCCAGACGTGGGTGTCTGGCTATAAAGGCTCGTTTTACAGCTTAATAAATGTCTTGAACCACCCCCAAAATATTTTCTATTAATATCCATGACTTGGCCCAAGTAGACCCATTAGCATTTCAGGCCATCAGTTGATATCAATTCCTTGTATTTGCATGGAATTCTTTTTTTTTTTTGAGACAGAGTCTGTTGGCCAGGCTGGAGTGCCGTGGCATCAGCCTAGCTCACAGCAACCTCAAACTCCTGGGCTCAAGCGATCCTCCTGCCTCAGCCTCCTGAGTAGCTGGGACTACAGGCATGTGCCACCAGGCCTGGCTAATTTTTTCTATATATTTTTAGCTGTCCAATTAATTTCTTTCTATTTTTGGTAGAGACGGGGTCTCGCTCTTGCTCAGGCTGGTCTCGAACTCCTGAGCTCAAATGATCCACCTGCCTCGGCCTCCCAGAGTGTTAGGATTACAAGTGTGAGCCACCGTGTCCGGCCCTGCATGGAATTCTTTACAGCACAAAGAAGCAAGCCATGCAAACATCTACGGGGGGTCAGGGTGGGGGAAGCATTGCAGGTGAAGAGAAGAGCAGGCAAAGGCCCTGAGGTGTCAGCAAGCTTGGCTTATGCAAGGAACAGTAAAAACAGTAGCTGGGGAAGATCAAAGGAGGGGAAGATGATAAATAGCTTCTAGGGAAAAGGAGTGCGGTCTACGGATTGAATTCTAAAGGTGATGGAGGATTTTGAATTAAAGCATGTTGCTCCTCCTCACTTTAATCTCTTCAGTGGCTTCTGGTTGCATTCAGAATATAAGGAAGGCTCTGCAGGGTCTGGCCTCACCCACCTTGTCATGCGTCTTTAGGTCCTTGCTCCTCGTCACTCATGGCCCCAACCACGCTGGTTCCACTTGCTTCCTGAACACATCCAGCTGTTTGCATCTCAGGCCCTTTCCACATCTGGTTCTCCTGCCTGGATGATCCCCTCACCCACACGCCCCTCAGCTCCTCTCAGGCCTCCCTCCTCCTTCTCTTTCTCCTGGAGTAGCTTACCGTGTTATTGCCCAGAGGCCCCTCCCCTGATCCCCCAATCGAAAGTGACCTCGCCCTAGGTATTCTTTTTTGTAGCCTCAGTTCTCCTCCTTTGTAGCCATGATCACAACAAAAGGTTGTATTTGTTTCTTGTTTCTTTACTTCGTGATCTGTCTCCTCCATTGACTATCAGCCGCACGAAGGCAAGGTCGGTCGGTGCCTGCTTCACCTGCTGCGGTAGGCTCGTTCTCTAGTGCGTGATCTAGTGCATCAAGAAAGAGCATCAAGATGTCCCGCCTCAACTTTCCTGACCTTTGCTTTAATAATTCGTAAATGCAACAAACAGTTTACAACTGAAAAGCATTTTCAGCAGATTGGTAGAGGGGAGAGGCTGGAGGCTGCATATCTGCGAGGGCAGCAGGACCACAATGGAGGGGAGAGCTGGAAAAGGCCGTCCTTTGGTCAGTAACGGCAGAGGCCAAGAAAAGGGGATGGATTCTGGAGCTTTTTGGAAAGTAGAACCAACTGGATAGACAGATAGGACACAGAGAGGGGACAGGGACAGCAAAGGTTTGCTCTTGCTGAAGAGGTAATATGGGGGAAAGGCTAACATATTTTGGGCTGTGTATCAAAAGCCAAATCTTGGGATTTGAGGCACTTGGGGGACGTTTAGGTGGACCTGTCCAGGATGCAATTAGAATTGCAGTTCTGGCACTCAGAAGTGACGCTTGGCCAGAGATGTCAGTCATGAGTGACGATACTATTTTGGATTATATTCATGAGTTCTTGGCACATGGCGGGTGCCATGTTAAGCCCTGAGGTAGTGATAGTATTGTACAGTGGTTAAGAGCTCAGTTTCTGGAGTCAGGTCTTTGGGGTTCAGCTGCGAACTCCACCACTCACACTGTTTGTGATCCTCGGCCAGGTGCTTAGGCTCACTGTGTCCCATCTGGGGTAATGACAGTACCTACCGCATTGGGCTCCCTACTGTCAAGATTATTATGAACTTAGAGCAGGGCGTAGCACTTAAAGAGTTTTATCTGTTATTTTTTATGATGGCAGTGAATCATCAGAACGAGCCTAAGCGGTAGATAGGATTAGCATCCCCGTGTTTCCATAAGGCGAAGCTAAGGCTTAGAGAATTTAAGTAACTTCCCCCTGGAGTCATCCAGCCCGTACTCGGTGGAGCCGGGATTTGAACCTCAATGTTCCGCCTCCATTGTCGAAGGCAGGTCCGTCCCCAGACTCTGCACCAGCAGCCAGTGAGAATTAGAGTCGTCCACAGGAGGTGGGTGAACGAGGCGTCGCCTGGAAAAAGCCCGTGGTTAGGAGTAAGGACTGCAAGGAAGAATAATGAGAGAAATGAGAAAGAGGCTCCGCGTGGCAGGAGAGCCACGAGCTGTTGGGAGAAAAAGAAATTTGAGGCTTGTTCTGACTCTGGTGCTCAGTGGCGCCACCTACCTGTGGAAGACTTAAATCACTGGCTCTGGGTTTTTGATTCCCAGCCCATTACCTGGATTTGTTGAGTTGGTGCCATCTGATGTCCCCACTAAACTGTCCTGACCTTTGTTTTAATAATTCGTAAATGCAACAATTTGCAATTGAAAAGTATTTTCACATCGCGGTCCAGTCGGACTCTCATGGCCACTGTGAGAGGCAGGAATTATTAACCGACACTCTGTCTGCTGATGAGAAAACAAAAGCCGGTAGAGGGGAAGTGGTATATGGAGCTTAAGAACTCTGACATTGGCCAGACGTGATGGCTCACGCCTGTAATCCTAGCACTCTGGGAGGCCCAGGCGGGAGGATTGGTTGAGCTCAGGAGTTCGAGACCAGCCTGAGCAAGAGCGAGACCCCGTCTCTACTATAAATAGAAAGAATTAGCCAAACAACTAAAAATAGAAAAAATTAGCCGGGCATGGTGGCACATGCCTGTAGTCCCAGCTACTCGGGAGGCTGAGGCA